AGGAAATTTGAAAATATCACTTGATAATTATGTGTTATTGGAAGATTAATACCTGCACACCAACTATAATGTCTTAAAAAAGGGGCAAATATTACAACAAATTAAAATAAACAATCCTTAGCCTAGTGGGGGCACAAGCAAAGCCTGGTGGCCCGCCAGGCTTATAATCCTCTGGGGGAAACGCTGGGTTATTTGAATCATTTGATTGGTTGAGATTAATCAGATTATTTCCCATGTAACATTTGAAAAACATCTTGTTACGACAGCATTTAATTTCCCTTTGGGATAAATAAAGGGCTTCTGGTCTAAATTAAATTGAATTCAAATTGGTGCCACACCTTTTGGGTTTTCATGTGCCGTTCCAGTTACTTGTAAATTAGTTTTATTTCGACATATTTACAGAAGAAACTCGACTAAAATACTTGGCAAGATTTGGTGCTTTTGCAGAGAAATTGCAACCCGTTTTACTCACCTCACACTTTCTCATTCTGAACTGTATTCAGAACTTATTTACATCGTCGGCCTTCGCCAAGAAAGCTGCGAGTCGGTATGAGTGTATAAAAAAAAGCAAGTTCTTAATACCTGACAGCCAAGAGCTCAGTAAAGTGCCGCAAGAGCAATAAAACATAAAGGACATATCTCATGGCAGCAGTAAAACCTGAAAAAGGCTGAGTGTTGTTGCGTCCAAGTCCGGCTGTGGCTCTGTCGATCATTGCTCTCCTCCTCTGGCCCCCGAGATGACCGTTTAATTCAGCAACACCCACAGGCTGCTCCCCTCAGCTGTTACTCAAGCTGCCGTCATGGCACGATGCGAGGGTTTGGCTGCAAACACTCCCAAAGTCCTTTACTCTTCTGCTGGTGTGAAATGCTACACAACTCTACTTCTACCAGACAGATTGTTCGTTTCAGCTCTTCCTCCACGGTCTCCAGGTTTATAACTTCAGGCGGTTAATGATTCGCCACTATTGCAAAGTTTTACAGTCACATAAATGGCTATAAAAATGGAGAAAAGGCAGATTATTGGCTTGAACGATAGAGATGTTTTGGCTGCAGAAGTGAATATTAAGTGCCGCTTTTAAACCAAAGAGGACTTGAAGATGAAAATAATTAAGAATATACCCCGTTTGATGTAATTTATAGTGCCTTTCATGTCTCACCACAATCCTCAACGTGTTTTATTTGGGTTATCTGCTTTAGACAAATCCAAAAAGGTCTAAGTCTCAAACAGAAGCAAAAGGTTTGGTTTTCTCTGCTGCTTTTAACGCAGTGCTTGTTTACAAAAATCCACAGTAAGTCTCATTTACAATTGGTCACAAGCAAAGTTGGGAATATTTTTAAAAAAAAGGTCCTTTAGTGATACGAGACTAAGACTTTACTTTCTGTTGGAAGATCTGAGGAATATTGTTTATGGGTCTAAATGTGTTGGAGTAGCTCTGTTAGTTCTGATTTGTTCTTTTTGTAGGCTTTTGTTGTGGTTCAGGCTTTGAGTTTTGAACAATTGATCCCTCTGGTTTGGATGCTGTGCAGCTGGAAGGGTTTTGCTCTTGTTTTTCTTTTACTTTTGGAGTTGCTATGGTGCTTAAATATGAAAGCAATGACCGGGGGAAAAAAGCTCAAACCACCCATCATGATGGGTCCAGATCAAATCCCCTACTCCAACTTCTTCCCACCCACCTTTCAAATCATACAACCAGACTATTCGATGAGTAACAAAAGCAAAAGAGGTGGATTAGCGGTGCTTTTACACAACTGGTGTCATCCAGAACATGTTACTGTGGATTGAGCTGCTAGCGTAACACTCATACTCTTCAGAGGCTTCTTCAAATTCCCTGCAACACTGACTGCTACCGGAGATCTGTCTCTCTCACAATGACTCTTTGAAGATACTTGAAAGATAAAAGTTAAACTTAGATAAATAAAGGACTTCTAGACTAAATAAAATTTAATTCAACTTGGTGCCACGCCTTTTCAGATTTTATGTGGCGTTCCAAACTTACTCTGCAGTGGTTTATCATCCAAATCCCAACAAAATCCATTGGAAATTGTGTTGAAAACTTTTGAAAGTCATTGTTTAGTCAGCAGCACAAACACTTTAATCCCAAGTCTGTTGGTTTGGGGATATTTGAGGCACAAACTTTTGGTCTTACGATCTTTAAAAGCTGCAATAAATTGGCCTCAGCTGTCTTGCCTCTGCAGATACATCACCTACCCTCCTCAGCTCCACCACTCGCACCTTCACACCCTCCACCTTGTTTTACTAATGAGTGTTAGAGCTCTGTTGATTACAGAAGAGCTGCTGCTATCTCCAGAGAGCTGCCCTCTCGCTGTGTTCCCTCTAACTGGACCACAGGGCCTGAAAGCACACCATCAATCAGCCGGTATCAACAGGACCTCACGCAATCATCGGGTCTCTGGATGTTTTCGAATCCTGGTGTGTCGACATGTGTGCAAATGGACATCTGTGGATTCGACAGCCTTAAGGTTGCTTTAAGGCAATTTTCCACTTTGTTGCAGGGTCATGCTGACAAGAAAATCCACAGAAAGCAACAATTACTCTAACGACCCGCCAATGTCGCAGTGGCTCCGCCAGGTTCCTAATTTCCCCAGTAATTAGGAAAAAGGTCACTTTATGCTTGTTTTAAAAGGCAAATTCAGCTTTTCCTCCAATATCTGCAAACATAAAAGGGTAATAAAACAACGCCGGGACTGTAACCGATGGTTTAGGATGTAATATTTAAAATTACAGTGTTGGAGTATTTATCAGTGGAGCCGGAGCAATAGTTGAGGATTTAATTAGACAAATAAAACATGACTAAGCTCTTTTACGACTAAACAAAAAGTCTTTCATCTCAAATGTAGAAATTTCAGGCCCTTTACTGTATATAAATCAGGTTTTTTAAAACAATAAAAATAGTGTACTGGCTGTAAGACAAGCTAGATAATGGAAAAAATGTTTTTTAGAGGGTTGAACGGCTAGCCTTATAGCTCACTGAAGAACATTTATCATTTTACCTTTTTAATAATTTATTGGTAATAAATGCAGGATCTGGTTTCCTATTTATTGCCATAACATTTCGCAGTTTTCCAGACCTGATTTAAGACTTATCATACAACGGCGGTCTTTTTTGTTCCTACATTTTCCGAACTGAACAGAAACCGATTTTTGTGCTTTATGCTGTTTTTATTCAAACTATTAGCGGTAGACATTGATATTAGCTCGTAAGTGTAGCTGTGTTCATGCCAAGTAATTTTTGTCAAGGTGGTAAATCTCAAGGTTGTTCTAAAAACGGTATTTTGTGGTTTTGAGTGGGAATTTACACTAGATTGCTGCAGCTTTTCCCGTATTCCCCAGACAAACTCCAACCTCCAAAAGACAGTAAACACAACTTCCTGTTTTTTAATCCGGGTAACAGGGGTTTAGATTTTGAGCTGATAAGGTACAGATTTCTTAGAAAAAGCAAACAAAATATGGCTTCAATTGGCTGGCTGCTCTTATTTTCTTCCATTGCGCTAGCAGGAGGAAAATGGCGCCCAGTTAGCATCCAAGCAATAGAAAACATGGTCAACAGCTGACATATCTATTTTTTTAAAATCAAGTTGACATGACGCTCCACAGTTTTTGTCCCCCTGAGTGGTGAGCCATATCAAAAAAAAAAAATCAAGAAATGTTGTCTTGATCGCCTCAACAGTTTAGAGTTAAACAAAAATGGAAGAAAGGAAACCAAGACGGCATCTTCATTTTCTGGAATATCTTAATTTTTTTCCGTCTTGTTAGAAATTAAGCTTAGGATGAAACTGGTGCCTTTCCAAGCAAAAATAGATCGCAACCAGCAGTTCTGGTTTAATTCTGACAAATAATGAAGTTTGAAATTCACCACTTTTCCGGCGTCTTCCGAATTCCCAGTCTATCACCCAGATCTGTAAAGTCTCGGCGGCGTGCGCTGCATACACAAGAACAGATCGTTGGATCTCTGAGCGCCTCCGAGGGTGTGACTGACAGTTTGCTGCTACAGCTAAGCAGAGGAGGGCTGCCCACATGGCAGCAGAAAAAATACAAATAAATAAATAAAAAACCCAAATGTCCCTGTCACCTTTTCTGTCATTCCTAGACATGTTCTGCACAGTTAGAGAAGCAGGTGACAGATTTCATCCAAAGCTGACAGATGACTGTAGAGCTGAGCAGAATTTGGAAGCATTATTTTTGCATGCTGACCTACAGATTTATGTGAATATGCATCAGCAGAGAAGCATGGTAACGCATTAGAATGCCCAAATTTGACTTTTTGGCTCATTTCACATGCAAATATTTAAGATAAGTTAGTATGTGGCAAAAACTTGTTATTTTTCAGATATTCTACCTCGAAGCACAACTCTTTTTCTAGATCATGAAGAAAAATCAGCGCATTTCCTGTGTGATTTGGCTAAGTTTTCAGGCTCAGGTTTTCCTGTGGAGAGGGCATTAACAGATGCTCCATAGAGACAGACTGATGAGGAATAAGAAGAAAGCAGAGCAGAACCACAGCGCATCACACAGACGTGCAACAGTGTTAAAAAGGCTCCAGCCTGCGAGGGAAACTCGGGTTAATTGAGTTCTATTGAAGGAAAAGCATATTTAGGATGTAATTAAAATGTGCTGCATTATCGTCAGTGGCAGTTTTGCAAGCCTGATTAAAGTTGGCTTGATTGGGATCGTTTGCGTGTTCAGCTGAGAGGTGATGGAGATACATTAGTCACTGAAAAAGCGTCAATGTATGGCAAACAATAATGACAAAATAACCATTTTTATAGGAAAGTGTGAGAATTATCCAGTCGTGATGCACAACTCCGCAGAAAGCAATTCCAAATTGCCTCTAACCGTAAATGCAGATTATAAGCAGGACAATTTTACAATTAACGACCATAAAGAGTAACATATAAATCCTACCAACAGTGCTGGGGGAACTCATAAAAAACCTGCGCAAGTTAATGTGCAGGGGGACAATAAATAAGCTTCTCTCTACCTGGTCTTGCTGTTGAGCCGCTTTCGACGGTGCATTGCCTTCCTTGGCCGTGGTCATGGTTCCCTACCGCGGGGTGACAAACTGTTGTTCCCCTCTCGGCCAAGAGGAGAGGGAAAAAATACCGGCAGATAAAGGTTCAAGAAGAAAACAGTCTATTCGCGGAGCCTGCAGGCAGCCGGGCAGCGAGTCAAGGTGCGAAATGACAAGAAAGAAAGAGGGAGAGCAAGAAAAAAAAGAAGAAGGAGGGAGAAAAGATTCAGTGGAGGAGAAAGAGAGGCAGAGAGAAGCCGCGCATCTCCGCTTTAAACGCTTCATGCGGGACTCCGCGCGAGACATTCGATGTTCCACGCGCGCGTGCACAAGCCGGCGCCTCCGCACGTTGCGCGCGCGCGCAGGCATGGCCCGCAAATCAGCAGAGGGGAGTGAAAAAACTCCACACTAATGTAGGTGTTTATGTATTTAGCCTAGAGAATATTTATGATGTCCACGGGCGAACCAAGGTTGTTGGAGGTCCAAAGCACAACTTCCCCTGGGGGCCCCCACTGCTAGCTAAGCACACTGCAACTACATCTAAATGTGTTTTCACACCTGATTGTCCAGAATTGGAACATCTGGTATATTTTCAGCTTTCACAAAATATTTGAAAACCCTGTTCCCCTCCTCACCTGTGGTGGCGCTGTACCAAGAGTCACTGAAGAAAACAGCAGGAAAAATCTTCATAAAATGTAAACAAAAATGAAACGACATCAGATTTTAGTGGTTGTAGGCCTCCTCTTCTGTCTTTAGCAAGTCATGGCAATTCAATTATTCTAACAACTCTAAGCACGCACATTTGTTTTGGTTGCATTTACCCAGAATTCCCTGCTCTAAAGTCCACTTCCTGTTTTTGGAGCATTCACATAATGCATTTGAAATGCACCAGAATTCACTTCAACCAAACTGAGGCCTCAGGTTTGTAGTTTTTGGTACACATTTACACATTCACACCTCCCAAAACAAACCACAATTTCTGGGCAAACAAACTTCAGTCCAACTGAAGTGAACCAAACAAGGCTGATGTGAATGCACTCTGAATAAATCAGATTATCATCAACACCTTAAATCATTTCTGTTTCTCTTTCTGTTTATTTAGATGATCATGTCTTACAGT